ACGGGGATTTGGGATCAGAGGGATTTGGGATCAGAGGGATTTGGGATCACGGGGATTTGGGATCACAGGGAGTTGGGATCACCGGGAGTTGGGATCAGGGGGATTTGGGATCAGAGGGATCTGGGATCGGTTTAAGCTGGGATCACAGGGAGTTGGGATTGGGGGGATTTGGGATCGGGGGATTTGGGATCAGGGGGATTTGGGATCGGGGGATTTGGGATCAGGGGGATTTGGGATCAGGGGGATTTGGGATCAGGGGGATTTGGGATCAGGGGATTTGGGATCAGCGGTAGATCAGGGAAGAGGATTTGGGGCAGGTTGGGGTTTTGGAGGAGCCTGGTGGGAGCTGGATTGGGAATCACGGAATTATGGAATTGTGGAGGTTGGAAAAGCCCTTTAGGATCGAATCCTAATTAAGATCTCCATTCCACCCAAGGATTTGGGGTCTTCCCCTAAATTTAATCCAAGAATTTGGGGTCTCTCCCTAAATTCAATCCAAGGATTTGGGGTCTCTCCTTAAATTTAATCCAAGAATTTTGTGTCTCTCCCTAAATTTAATCCAAGAATTTGGGATCTCCCTAAATTAAATCCAAGGATTTGGGGTCTCTCCTTAAATTCAATCCAAGGATTTGGGGTCTTTCCCTAAATTTAATCCAAGAATTTGGGATCTCCCTAAATTTGATCCAAGGATTTGGTATCTCCCTAAATTTAATCCAAGGATTTGGGGTCTCTCCTTAAATTTAATCCAAGGATTTGGGGTCTTTCCCTAAATTTGATCCAAGGATTTGGGGTCTTTCCCTAAATTTAATCCAAGGATTTGGGGTCTCTCCCTAACTTTAATCCAAGGATTTGGGGTCCCTCCTCATCCACATCCCCAAGTGCCTCTATCCCAAAATCACCCTTTCCCAGCTGGAATTTCCCCCATTATCCAACCCAAATTCACCCCTCCAGCCTCATTTTCCACGGAAAAAAATCCCATCAGGGTCACGCCGGGTTGGGGAAAACCCCCCGGAATTCCAGGATTCCCGGGGTTTTTGTTTTTCCAGGTGGTGAATCCCGAGGACGTGTTCTGGAAGTGCGGCCTGGGCTACCCGCACACCTCGCACTGCCTGGGCAGCGGGGAGGTGATGATCAGCGCCTTGGGAGACCCGGCCGGGAATGGGAAAGGTATCCCGGAATTCCCATGGAAAATTCCGGGAATTTTTCCCCGCGGGAATTTTCCCACCGGGAGGATCCGTCCGGGAGAATCCGATGGGTCGGGTTTGGGGAAAAAGAACGGTGGGGGGTGTTTGGGGTGGGAATTGTGGGATTGTGGAATTTTTGGGGGTTGGGGAAGGGCCTGGGGTTTGGAAATCGTGGAATTCTGGAGTTTTTGGGGGTTGGAAAAGGCCTGGTGGGAGTTGGGGTTGGGAATGTGGGGTGGGAATTGTGGAATTCTGGAATTGTTGGGGGTTGGGAAAGAGCCTGGTGGGATCTGGGATTGGGAATTCTGGAATTTTTGGGGTTGGGAAAGAGCCTGGTGGGAGCTGGGATTGGAAATCATGGAATTCCAGAAATGTTGGGGTTGGAAAAGACCTGATGGGATCTGGGATTGGGAATTCTGGAATTGTTTGGGGTTGGGAAAGAGCCTGATGGGATCTGGGATTGGGAATCATGGAATTCTGGAATTGTTTGGGGTTGGAAAAGACCTGATGGGATCTGGGATTGGGAATCATGGAATTGTTTGAGGTTGGGAAAGGGCCTGATGGGATCTGGGATTGGGAATTCTGGAATTGTTGGGGTTGGAAAAGGGCCTGGTGGGATCTGGGATTGGGAATCATGGAATTCTGCAATTTTTGGGATGGGAAAAGACCTGATGGGATCTGGGATTGGGAATTCTGGAATTGTTTGGGGTTGGGAAAGAGCCTGATGGGATCTGGGATTGGGAATCATGGAATTCTGGAATTGTTTGGGGTTGGAAAAGACCTGATGGGATCTGGGATTGGGAATTCTGGAATTATTTGAGGTTGGGAAAGTGCCTGGGGTTTGGAAATCATGGAATTCTGGAATTGTTTGAGGTTGGGAAAGGGCCTGGGGTTTGGAAATCATGGAATTCTGGAATTTCTGAGGTTGGAAAGGGCCTGGTGGGAGCTGGGATTGGGAATCATGGAATTCTGGAATTTTGGGGTTTGGAAAGGGCCTGGTGGGATCTGGGATTGGGAATCATGGAATTCTGCAATTTTTGGGATGGGAAAAGACCTGATGGGAGCTGGGATTGGGAATTCTGGAATTGTTTGGGGTTGGGAAAGAGCCTGATGGGATCTGGGATTGGGAATTCTGGAATTCTGGAATTTTTGGGGTTGGAAAAGACCTGATGGGATCTGGGATTGGGAATCATGGAATTGTTTGAGGTTGGGAAAGGGCCTGATGGGATCTGGGATTGGGAATTCTGGAATTGTTGGGGTTGGAAAAGGGCCTGGTGGGATCTGGGATTGGGAATCATGGAATTCTGCAATTTTTGGGATGGGAAAAGACCTGATGGGATCTGGGATTGGGAATTCTGGAATTATTTGAGGTTGGGAAAGTGCCTGGGGTTTGGAAATCATGGAATTCTGGGACAGTCGAGGCTTTCCTAATCCGAACCAACCTCAACGGGGCACAGCGATTTCCCGGGAATTCCACGGGAGTTGGGGTTTGGTTTTGTTTTTCTTTTCCCGGGAATCAGGCGGATTTATCCTGCTGGACGCCGAGAGCTTCGAGGTGAAGGGGACGTGGGAGGAGGGGGACGAGGTTCCCCCCATGGGCTACGACTTCTGGTACCAGCCCCGGCACAACGTCCTCATCAGCACCGAGTGGGGCGCGCCCAAATTCCTGGGATACGGATTCGATCCCAGCGACCTCGGGAAGGGTCAGGAGAGCTCCCAGGGTTTGGGGTCATTCCCTGGCTCGGATCCGAGGGTTTGGGGTCGTTCCCTGTGTAAAATCCATGGATTTGGGGTCACTCCCTGTTCTAAATCCATGGATTTGGGGTCACTCCCTGTGTCAAATCCATGGATTTGGGGTCATTCCCTGGCTCGGATCTGAGGATTTGGGGTCTCTCCCTGTGTCAAATCCATGGATTTGGGGTCATTCCCTGGCTCGGATCTGAGGATTTGGGGTCATTTCCCATGTAAAATCCATGGATTTGGGGTCTTTCCCTGTTTTAAATCCAAGGATTTGGGAGTATCACGGCCTTAAATCCATGGATTTGGGGTCATTCCCTTTGTAAAATCCATGGATTTGGGGTCTTTCCCTGTTTTAAATCCATGGATTTGGGGTCTCTCCCTGTGTCAAATCCATGGATTTGGGGTCATTCCCTGTCTCGGATCTGAGGATTTGGGGTCATTCCCCATGTAAAATCCATGGATTTGGGGTCACTCCCTGTGTCAAATCCATGGATTTGGGAGTATCAAGGACTTTGATCCAAGGATTTGGGGTCTCTCCCTGTGTCAAATCCATGGATTTGGGGTCATTCCCTGTCTCGGATCCGAGGATTTGGGGTCTTTCCCTGTGTAAAATCCATGGATTTGGGGTCTTTCCCTGTGTAAAATCCATGGATTTGGGAGTATCATGGACTTAAATCCATGGATTTGGGGTCATTCCCTTTGTAAAATCCATGGATTTGGGGTCTTGGACTTAAATCCATGGATTTGGGGTCATTCCCTTTGTAAAATCCATGGATTTGGGGTCTTTCCCTGTTTTAAATCCATGGATTTGGGGTCTCTCCCTGTGTCAAATCCATGGATTTGGGGTCTCTCCCTGTGTCAAATCCATGGATTTGGGGTCTTTCCCTGTCTCGGATCTGAGGATTTGGGGTCATTCCCCATGTAAAATCCATGGATTTGGGGTCAATCCCTGTTTTAAATCCAAGGATTTGGGGTCAATCCCTGTTTTAAATCCAAGGATTTGGGGTCTTTCCCTGTGTCAAATCCAAGGATTTGGGGTCTTTCCTTGTGTCAAATCCATGGATTTGGGGTCACTCCCTGTTTTAAATCCATGGATTTGGGAGTATCACGGACTTAAATCCATGGATTTGGGGTCACTCCCTGTCTCCAATCCATGGATTTGGGGTCCCAAAATTAAAAACAAAATCCCCAAAATTCCCAAAACAAGTCCCCAAAAATCCCCCCAAATTCCCCACAAATCCCCCAAAATTCTCCAAAAATTCCCCCAAAATTTCCTCCAAAATTCCCTGAAAATCCCCCCAAAATCCCTCAAAATTCCCCAAAAAAATTCCTCAAAAAATTCCCAACCCCCCCCAAAAATTCCCTCAAAATTCCCCAAAAAAATTCCCCCAAAATCCCTCAAAATTCTCAAAAATTTCTCCAAAATTCCCAAAAAAACCCCCAAAAATCCCCCCAAAAATTCCTCAAAAATCCCCCGCCCCCCCAAAATTCCCAGAAAACCCCCCCAAAAATTCCCATTTTCCCAGGGCGTTACGGGCGCCGGCTGAACGTGTGGGACTGGAGCAGCCACAGGTACATCCAGGCCATCGACGTGGGCGAGGATTCGGCTCCGCTGGAAATCCGATTCCTCCACGATCCCGACGCTTCCCAAGGATTCGTGGGCTGCACCATCAGCAGCGCCGTCCATCGCTTCTACAAGACCCAGGTAGCCCCGAATCCCGGGAATTTTGGGGATCCCGGCTGGGAATGGTTTCGTTTTTTAGCGGATTTAGAACTTCCGGGGAGTGTCGGGTTTGTGAGGAGGATTGGGAATGTTTTCCGTCAAAAGAGCTGGAAAATTCCGCGGGTTTTTTTTGCCTTCAAATCCCTTCCAAGCAGCCCAAAACTGGAAAATTAAATGTTTTTGGCTCCCCAATTCCTTCCTGGAATTCCAGACCCCTCGTTCCCGGAAGATCTGGATCCAGAGGAGGTTGGAAAACCACCAAACCACCTGGGAAAAAAATAATTTTCAGCCCTCAGATCCTTTCCTCGCATCATTTTCTGCCTCCCAAAATCCTTCCCGGAATCCCAGAGCCCTCGTTCCCGGCGGATCTGGAGCCGGAGAAGGATCCTGTGGGATTTGGGGTGGTGGGATCCCATCCCTCTCCTCCCGCAGGACGGAGCCTGGGCGGCGCAGAAGGTGATCCAGGTGCCCAGCAAGAAGGTGGAGGGCTGGCTCCTGCCGGAGATGCCAGGTGGGCGCATTCCCGGCGCCGGGATCCGTCCCGGAATCATTTCAGGGATCCAGGGATTGGGGGTTCTCCATTGGATCCGTGGATTTGGGGTCTTTCCCCACCTTTAATCCAAGGATTTGGGGTCTTTCCCTGCCTTAAATCCAAGGATTTGGGGTTCTCCATTCAATCCAAGGATTTGGGGTCTCTCCCTGTCTTAAATCCAAGGATTTGGATTCTCCCTGTCTCTGATCCAAGGATTTGGGGTCTCTCCCAGCCTTAAATCCAAGGATTTGGGGTCTTTCCCCATCTTAAATCCAAGGATTTGGAGTTTCTCTGTCTGTGATCCAAGAATTTGGGTTTCCCTGCCTCCAATCCAAGGATTTGGGGTCTTTCCCTGCCTTGGATCCAAGGATTTGGGGTCTTTCCCTGCCTTGGATCCAAGGATTTGGGGTTCTCCATTCAATCCAAGGATTTGGGGTTTCTCCATGATTCTGATCTAAGGATTTGGGGTCTCTTCCTGCCTTAAATCCAGGAATTTGGGTCTCTCCCAGCCTTAAATCCAAGGATTTGGGGTCTCTCCCTGTCTCCAATCCAAGGATTTGGGGTTCTCCATTGAATCCAAGGATTTGGGGTCTCTCCCTGTCTCCAACCCAAGGATTTGGGGTCTCTCCTTGCCTTGGATCCAAGGATTTGGGGTTCTCCATTGAATCCAAGGATTTGGGGTCTCTCCCTGCCTTCAACCCAAGGATTTGGGGTCTTTCCCCATTTTAAATCCAAGGATTTTGATTCTCTCTGTGATCCAGGAATTTGGGTCTCTCCCAGCCTTAAATCCAAGGATTTGGGGTCTCTCCCTGTCTCGGATCTGAGGATCTGGGGTCTTTCCCTGTTTTAAATCCAAGGATTTGGGGTCTTTCCCTGCCTTGGATCCAAGGATTTGGGGTTCTCCATTCAATCCAAAGATTTGGGGTTCTCCATTGAATCCAAGGATTTGGGGTCTCTCCCAGCCTTCAACCCAAGGATTTGGGTTCTCTCTGTGATTCCTTCCCAAAGGATTCATCACGGATATCCTGATTTCCCTGGACGACCGCTTCCTGTATTTCAGCAATTGGCTGCACGGCGACGTGCGCCAGTACGACATCTCCGACCCCAAAAATCCCAGACTGGTGGGGCAGGTGAGGATTCCCGCCGGAATTCCGTCGGTTTTTCCATGGTTTTGGGGTTTTTTTTCCCTGGGATCGGCCAAGGCGGGGGTTGTCCTGCAGGTGTTTGTGGGCGGCAGCGTCGCCAAGGGAGGGCCGGTGAGGGTGTGCGAGGATGAGGAGCTGCAGAGCCAACCGGAGCCCTTCGTCATCCAGGTGGGTCCTGAAAAATCCCAAAATTCCGCTTTGGGATGGGTTCTGTCCTTCCCGAATCCCCTCTTGGGACTGGCTCCATCTTTCCCTGAAATCCTTCCCAAATCCTGCTTTGGGATGGGCTCCGTCCTTCCGAAATCTCGCTTTGGGATCGGCTCCATCCTTCCCTGGATCTTTCCCAAATCCCCCCTTGGGATCGGCTCCATCCCCCCTGGCCGGACACAGCCCTGGATCCAGGGGGACCATTCCCGTCTCCCTGGGATTTTCCCAGTGGGATTGATTTTCCATGAGGAATGATTTCCGTGTGGGATGATTCCCAGTGGGATTTATTTCCCCGTGGGATGATTGATT